TTAGAGAACATGGGGGGGGGGGGGACTATGACGTGAGCAAACTTGTTCTATATGGTTAAACATTTCCATTGGCTGGGGAGACCAGCTCCATGATTTTGGCATTGAGTTTCTGATTGGTCCAATCTTTTGTGATGTCATCCAAATGGCTGTCAAAGTCCACCAATAGTGCCTGATCACCAGAGCTGAACAGCTGATTAACTATGGAACAGGTTTCTTCCCACTGCCGAAGCATTATTCTAAAGAATACACATCATTAATTAATTGCACTGCAGCATTATCATCAACAAAGCTGCACATTTTTTGAGATTTGTCTTACGTGTGTTTGTCTTTGAGAGCCCAGCGGGCGTCTTTACGCTCATACATCACGATCGGAGGAACACGGCAGCCTGGAAACATCTTTTCTCCATCAATCTGAGGCATAAACATTTTTTTCCATTAAAACAAAAGGACTTTTCCAATTAACTTTTGCACCAAGGTGACATTTTCTAAATTACCATAAGCAACACGGCATTGTTACACTGCTCGAAGATCTTCTCTGCAATCTTCAAAGCACATGGTGTAGGGCTGAAGAAAAAAAAAAAAGAGAAAAGTAAAACACAGAGAATAATAAGGAACTCGGGAATGATGAAAACAGATGGAGGAGTACCTGCTGTCTGAGACACAAGCATTGGCTTGATAATATCCCATAATCCTTTGATGTGTTTGCGAACACCAAGCGTCGACCTACAACAGGAATTATTGACATGTATTCTATAAAAGAAGCATTTAAATTTTACATTTAGCAGGGATATTTATCCAAAGAGACTTACAAATGAGGAATACAATGTCATGCTGTTAATGCTGCTATAATAAAGATCATTCTATATTCAATTCTTTAAAAACACAGTCCCAGATAAAAAAAATAAAAATGTGTATATACAGGTGCATCTCAATAAATTAGAATGTCGTGGAAAAGTTCATTTATTTCAGTAATTCAACTCAAACTGTGAAACTCGTATATTAAATAAATTCAATGCACACAGACTGAAGTAGTTTAAGTCTTTGGTTCTTTTAATTGTGATGATTTTGGCTCACATTTAACAAAAACCCACCAATTCACTATCTCAACAAATTAGAATACTTCATAAGACCAATAAAAAAAACATTTTTAGTGAATTGTTGGCCTTCTGGAAAGTATGTTCATTTACTGTACATGTACTCAATACTTGGTAGGGGCTCCTTTTGCTTTAATTACTGCCTCAATTCGGCGTGGCATGGAGGTGATCAGTTTGTGGCACTGCTGAGGTGGTATGGAAGCCCAGGAAGAACCAAAGACTTAAACTACTTCAGTCTGTGTGCATTGAATTTATTTAATACACGAGTTTCACAATTTGAGTTGAATTACTGAAATAAATGAACTTTTCCA